GAAATGCAGTGCTGAAGCAAAGGTCATTTTTAGCAGAAGGAGGTAGTGAGGAGGAGCAGCCACCCAAGGATGAGAGGGAAAACATCTAAGCAGTTGAGACAGAGAAGAGCGAAACGCTCTATTTTAACGATACGTATTCAATTACAGCAATAGGTCAAATTGGCTCCCAACGTAACTCAACACGCTTCAGCTCGGATATAACGAGGAAAAGTATTTTGTCTATTGATTCCAGAGCTCAGAAAAGTAAAAGAAGAATTATACACCTCAAATACGATTTTGCTAGGAAAGAATATCCAGTAATCCGATTAGCGCGTTCACCCAAGGTGCAAAAAGTGCTTTTTAATACAAGGATACTTCTAACAAATTGATTTTTTGAACACAGAATTTATCAATAGGCCTTTTTGTGTAGAAAATAATTTACAAAACGAAAAAAATACCTCAGCAACAACAGATTTCATTCTCTAACAGGTACCTCAATGAAAGCCTGGAACAATACATGGGGAAATATATATAATTATATTAGTATGGATGCAGATTTCTAATGATAGCAATAATCAAATTTTAATGTTATGGTTGCAGCAAATGAACAGAACAATATTTCTGTGCCTCTTCAAAGGGAAATGAGACTTTAATGTCATTGGCAGCTCAATAAAACCATTTTCTAACATATAGGGCCTTAATGACAGCTCGTTTCAGTCGAGACAGTGAAGAAAATACGTTAACAGTAAACTCCAGGTCATTATAAGGAGATGGAAATACAACAGGTCCTCTGCACTTTGGATAACTATTGATTTTTTTTACTCCATATTCTCTGTGCCTCACCCTGACTCACATAATGACTCCAGTGATGGAACGTCAATAAGCTATTTATGGCAAAGCTACCACATTTAAAGCCACTCAACAAGACTATGCCCAACTCAACTAACCACAATTTTCAGATGCGCAGCCAAGATCTCCAATAATAAACACTGCGAAGGAGTGGACAGGTCTGCCCGAGTAAAACATAACACAAGTATTCTTGGAGTGCTCAGAAGTATCAGGCCTTCGACTGCACTGGTATTTTTTTGCTAAAGAGCACACTGGTACTGAAATTCACAGAATGATATACTGGTTAGAGTTGGAAGGGACCTTGAAGATCATCCAGTTCCAACCCCCTGCCCTGGGCAGGGACACCTCCCACCAGACCAGGTTGCTCCAAACCCCATCCAACCTGGCCTTGAACCCCTCCAGAGATGTGGCAGCCACAACTTCTCTGGGCAACCTGGGCCAGTGTCTCACCACCCTCACAGCAAAGATTTTCTTCCCCAGATCTCATCTGAATCTCCCCTCTTTCAGTTTAAAACCATTACTCCTTGTCCTATCATCCCGCTCCCTGATCAAGAGTCCCTCCCCATCTCTCCTGTAGCCCCCTTCAGGGACTGGAGGACGTTATAAGGTCTCCCCAGAGCCTTCTCTCCTCCAGGCTGAACAACCCCAACTCTCTCAGCCTGTCCTCACAGCAGAGGTGCTCCATCCCTCTGATCATTTTCGTGGCCCTCCACTGGACCTGTTCCAACAGGTCCATGTCCTTCCTGCGTTGAGGACTCCAAAGCCGGACACAGTGCTCCAGGTAAAAATTCTTTATGGCCAGACTGAAATAACAGACAATTTCTTATGAAGTCCTCCTTCAAGAAAGATGGTCAGAAAAAAAAAATATATATACATGCTAAAGGTATGGAAGAAAGAATTCTTTTTTATCAGCTGCACGGCTACAGGCAGTTCTCAAGTACGACTTGAAGCACACGGTGCACTTTGTCCCTCGGTGAAAACACTCAGAGATATACTTTGCAAACATCATGTCTCAAAACTGGCCCTAAGTAAAGCTAAAGGTACAAAACCACTCTCTCTGGTGGCAAGGCCAGTTCAAAATGTTTACATTTTCTTTCCCCAACAACCTGCCCTCTGTACACAGTTTGTGATTTCTTCAATTCAGCTATTTTTGTAGTCGAGCTATAAAGCAGATGGTGGGCACGTCTGCGTTGGAGAAAGGGCTCCAGGATGGATTTGTAATGTGTGTGCTTCAGTCCACAACACCCCCACTGACACGACACAACAGGAGGTGAACTGCAGAGCAGAAAAAGAGGGACATTTCGGTTCATTGAGTCCAACCATCAACCTAACACTGACAAAAACCATCACGAACCCACGTCCCTCAGCCCAGCTTTAAAATCCCTCCAGGGATGGTGACTCCACCACTGCCCTGGGCAGCCTCTTCCAGTGCTATTCTAGAGTAAGCAAAATTAACAATAAAATTGACATAATGGCTGAAAAAAGCAGTTTGATATCCATAATAGGAAATCTCTGAAGCATTTGGCTGATGAGAAAGGCATCACGTGCTTCTCAAAAGAGCAGTGATACCTACAGGAGCTTTGCAAACATCATATCTCAAAACCGGCCCTAAGTAAAGCTAAAGGTACAAAACCATACTTTGCAAACATCATGTCTCAAAACTGGCCCTAAGTAAAGCTAAAGGTACAAAACCACTCTCTCTGGTGGCAAGGCCAGTTCAAAATATTTACATTTTCTTTCCCCAACAACCTGCCCTCTGTACACAGTTTGTGATTTCTTCAATTCAGCTATTTTTGTAGTCGAGCTATAAAGCAGATGGTGGGCACGTCTGCGTTGGAGAAAGGGCTCCAGGATGGATTTGTAATGTGTGTGCTTCAGTCCACAACACCCCCACTGACACGACACAACAGGAGGTGAACTGCAGAGCAGAAAAAGAGGGACATTTCGGTTCATTGAGTCCAACCATCAACCTAACACTGACAAAAACCATCACGAACCCACGTCCCTCAGCCCAGCTTTAAAATCCCTCCAGGGATGGTGACTCCACCACTGCCCTGGGCAGCCTCTTCCAGTGCTATTCTAGAGTAAGCAAAATTAACAATAAAATTGACATAATGGCTGAAAAAAGCAGTTTGATATCCATAATAGGAAATCTCTGAAGCATTTGGCTGATGAGAAAGGCATCACGTGCTTCTCAAAAGAGCAGTGATACCTACAGGAGTAAGCGAAAGATGCAAACCTCCTGGTAATTATGCAAATAATATTCCCCATTATAAATCTTCAGCTCCTCATTAAGTTGAGGCCACAATACCTTTATCTCTCCTGCACAATATTAAGAATCCGAGGGTTTAAGGCGTAAGATGAAGGTTGTACCTTGCTTATAATTCCTCTCCATTTTCTTTTGTTCCCATATTTTAAAACAACAAAATATTAAACATTTGTTTACCGCGCTGTAATTATTCTTCAACAATAACATCACCATGGAGGTGAAAATGCATTGGGAAACATCTGCAAAAGATACTAATACGCAGGTGTAAGTGAAATTTGGTTTTAAATAGTGATTTGGAAAAGTAACACGGGCAAGAGATTTTTTTACTTAAACAACATAAATAAAGCTATTGCTTATTGAATTGATTGGTTTATGACGTTACCAACCAATAAACCTGAGAAAGCTTTGATTTTGTTTCAGGTACAGAGGGCCAAACAAATATTTACATAGATGCTGCCATAAATAATCCCATTAATTTTGATAGGAATGCTCAAGTAAGCAATTTAAACTTTTTTTCTTTAAAATACTGATTTGTTTACTATTTATACTCAAGGAATTTGAAAAACAGGCATATTAGTACCTCAGAGAATATAGATTATTGTTTCAAAGAAGAGTCAATATAGACTTGATACAGGAAACAACCACTATATATAAGAAGTTATAAATCTGCCAGATGTTTGAAATGGACTGAAATATATAATGTCAGTTTTCAGAGGAAAAAAGCCAGACGTATTTCACAACTTCCCTGTCAGGAAGTTTTTATACATCAGCCCTAATGAAACATGATTCTTTGATAGAGAATTTTCCACTCAGCTGGTTCCAAGGTTTGAGACAATCATCAAAAGTCAGACTTTTGGTTGTTGTTTTCTAGCACATAAAAGACTTCAATACCAATACTTCTTGAATTCTTATTGTTAGCCAGATTTCTAGCCCAGAAATATTACGGAATCCCTTCAAATATGAAGTAATTAATTTCTAGAGAAGTTCTCCTGCATTTTGTAACTCCTTAATATACAATAACCAAACTTAGTAAATAGACCTGAAATATCATGTTACCCTTCCAGCCTCTAAAAAAAGATATTTAATATTATACACACACAAGAAGACACATTATACATGCAGCCATCAGAAAGGTCAGGCTCTTTCTAAACAGCTATTCTTAAGATGGGGATATTTGATCCCCCAAAAAAAGAAATAGAATAGAATCATAGAATCATAGAATGGTTTGGGTTGGAAGGGACCTCAAAGATCATCGAGTTCCAACCCCCCTGCCATGGGCAGGGACACCTCCCACTAGAGCAGGTTGCTCAAGGCCCCATCCAGCCTGGCCTTGAACACTTCCAGGGATGGGGCATCCACAGCTTCCCTGGGCATTCCCTGGGCACCCTCCCATGACACAACCCCTTCGTGACCCATCAGTGCTCAGCAGCACAACCACAAGCTTCTGACATGTTTGTCTTCATGAGATCCAAGCTCTGAAATAGCAGCCACCACTTCCACATACAAGGCGAGGGGGTGTCCTTGGGTTTTTACTTCTGTTAGTGATTCAGCACATGGATTATCCTACCCAAAACCTACCCCACAGCGCTCACAGCAGGCCCCACAGCTCGCATGTGGCAATCCTGTGTGTCACTGGGGCCTGGGTCCATCTCAGGCTCGGAACTGGAAGGACTGGAGCTATTAAAATTTAGATTACGATGCAGCAATTTTTCCCTCCTAGACAGCACTGGGTTCATGCAACGCTGGGGCAACACGTCTGCGAATTACATACTATTAACTATGAATAAAGAAAAAAAAAAAACCAAACCAAATAACAAGAAGGGATGTGCTTTCCACTTCTACCAACAGTTTGAAATGTGTCTGAAGAGAAATCTGAGCCGTTTCTAAAAGTTTCTGAACTTACAAAACGCTGCGCCTTCTGCCGCTCCTCTTCCGTCGCCGCTCTCTCGCGGAGAATGGCTCGAGTCAAATGTTCGTTAGAAGAAATCCTCTCTCTTTCCAGAAGCCTGCCAAACTCATCCCGCACGTACATCTGTTCTTGTTTCAATCTGCAGAGAGAGGAAGGAAATTTAGATCAAAGGTATGTTCTCCAAACGCAGTTTCAGAGGACGGAGGAACAGTCGCTGCAATACGTTATCATCTGTCTTCTTAAGACACCTCATTATGAATATCCCTTAAACATTCCAGAATTTTATTACAGATTGAAGTGTCAAAATGAGAATACACAAAAGCCTTAGTTCAAGACCAGGCTGGGTTCAAGGCCAGGCTGGATGTGGCCTTGAGCAACCTGGTCTGGTGGGAGGTGTCCCTGCCCATGGCAGTGGGGTTGGAACTCAATGATCTTTGAGGTCCCTTCCAACCCAAACCATTCTATGATTCTATAACTGCTCATTAAAACATACAAAATACAACTAATACAAAAGCTTTAGATACAACTAATTCAAAACCTTTATGAAAATATATCAAAAATATAACACAAATACGGACAGAACTCTGTTTCTTGGTTGTTTAGTTTTGTTCTGTTTTTAAGGACCCCATTTTCCAGGAAAACCCTTCTCCCTCCCACCCAATTTCCAGCTAAAAGCTCCATCTTTTCTGCAATAGGATAATGCTTCCTTATCTCTGGACATACCATAAACCTAAATAGTGCATCTATTTACCGAGCTGCAAGAAGATGGAACGACCATAATAAACCATTCCCAGTGATTTGAGAGGGTGAAATGAAAAGAGCTATTGAATTTGTATTTGAATTTGTTGCAACAGAGTTAATAAAGGCAACTCCAGTCCCAGGAAATTCTCAACATTTGTGTGTCACCAACCAGAAACATATTTGAAGTCTTGACTATAGTCCTTGATCGAAGCCCACCATATCTCATTCTCATGAAAATACACAGACATAAAATTGTTTAGGGAATAAAACCGATCTGTTACGTGTGTGTTGTGACACCGAGCCCAGAGTCAGCATTAGGGGAACTCAGAACAGTAATGGCAGCATCAACCACTGGGTTTCAAATAGATTTTTTGAAAGAGTGATGGAGAGAGGAAGCTTAAGTATTCTCAGTGCATTTAGACGTTGTCAAGGGAGCTTCGGAGAACAAATCATAATGAGTAGGGTCACTTTGTAAAAGGTAGTAGCATTACAGTACATTAGATTCTTCCCCAGGGATTATATTTAAGTGAGGTGGGGAGGAGAAAAAAAAAAAAAAAAAAAGACAATTACAAGATGTATTACTTCTGTGCTCAGGCACAACCCTCTGAAACGCAGCAACCAACTGGGAATCTTTATAAAAAGTTTATTAAGCAGCATCTTCAATTACTCCAGAAAAAAAAAAAAAAAAAAAAAAAAAAAAAAAATATATACTGTTCGTATATTAGCATTTCAAAGGATCTATGAATTAGAAATCAGCCATCACCAGATTTAAAAAGAAATTTTAAATACTCCAAAAAAAAAAAAAAAAAAAAGAAAAAAAAAAAAAGTCAGATTATGCAGACATGGACCACATTCCATTAAGTGATTTCCCAAGGTCCCCCAAATTATTCCAGCAGCATTGATATAACAAATCCTTCACACAATCAATGGCGCAGTCAAAACACGCTGGTTGTCTTTTGGATTGGAGAAATCATGTTTTGTCTAAAAAGAAAAAAATAAGTGTCAAAATAGAAGTCTCAGCAGCTTCTTCACGTTGAGAGACAGCAGAGACAGCATTTAACGTTTCCAGAGCCTGAAGGAAGCTCCTTCCTTCCTCATCCTTTCAGGGTTTTAGTTTCCACCAGTGGTTTTCCCCTAAAAATGTCTCTTTATGCACAGAGTGATTTCAGTATAGGAAATCAGATAATAGCTGAAAAAGGCTGCCAGAGGTTTCCACGTTACAAACTCTCCAAAATTAAAAATAGGCTCAGATGTTTACATTGAATTCTTGGCAAACGATCCCCGTATTTGACACGAGCTCGGTCTTTGCGAGTCTCCTCCTTCTTGCCCCTGGAATTACAAACCTCCAAGAAGTTTCCTCTCAACCTCTCTCACAAAAAGAAGAAAGTGGGTTTTCCTAACACTTAAAAATAATGGGCTCCTGATACAGTTCTGAGTATCTTCATGACCATGAACAGCTGCATCCCACCACAGTGAAAGGGGAAGGGATGGGGATAGGACACCCAAAATTGGCACTCAGAAAAATCCTACCCAAGTTATATAGCCCCATACCTGATCTTGTAAGTTACTAGTTTCCAAGCACATTGCGTGATAAAAATTCCAGAAAAGGGGGAGATTTATAGAATCATACTTAACCAGTCCATTTAAAATCATAGAATGGTTTGGTTTGGAAGGGACCTTAAAGATCATCCAGTTCCAACCCCCTGCCATGGGCAGGGACACCTCCCACTAGAGCAGGTTGCTCAAAGCCCCATCCAACCTGGCCTTGAACCCCTCCAGGGATGGGGCAGCCACAATTTCTCCAGGCAACCTGGGCCCAGAGAATAAATTACTTGAGGTATCTCCATACCACCTTGTGGCCATTCCAGTTCCAAGTACCTTCATGGCTATGAACAGCTGTATCCCATCACAGCGAGAGAGGAAGGGATGGAGATAGGACACCCAAAATTGGCACCCAGAAAAATCCTGCCCAAGTTATATAGCCCCATACCTGATCTTGTAAGTTACTAGTTTCCAAGCACATCGTGTGATAAAAATTCCAGAAAAGGGGGAGATTTAAATTAGATGTTAGGAAGAAATTCTTTCCTGTGAGGGGGGTGAGACACTGGAACAGGTGATTGGTAATGATACCTATAACGATGACGTGAAATAGCTACATCAAAAGTGGTAAGATCTTATCTATATTGTTCATAACCCTTCATCCAAATGCAGTTCTCTCAGTTACAGACTGCTCTTCTTCTTTCAACTGTGACTTCCCGGTATCTTCAAAACCACACTTATCACAGTGTAAAAATCAGCATAAATATCTGAACATAAAAATTAGAATTTCCTGGGTTGTCAGGTAGTTAACGGTTTTGTAGCTGGCGGTAATGAAATCGCCTAAACTGATCAACCTCATCCAAAACAACCACACAAAAAAACACAACCCAACCCCAAAACCACCCTCACAATCGCCCTCACCAAGAAAGAAAGAAAAATAAATAAATAAATAAAAGGATCCCCAAACTTTACCACTGTCCCTATTCCACGTGCAAGGTTACAGCAAAAATTCACCTCCTGGAGATAGAGATTACAAGAACATTCCTCAAAGCTCAGTTTATAGTTCCCCATTTAAACACATTCACCTCGGAGACAAAGATCATTTTATGACAACACCTTTATCTGCTGTTCCATCTTCTGTTTTTCCTGCAAACAAAATCCACTCTTTCAGCCTTTTATAAGGAGTGTTGTTTCCCGGATCAACCCATCAGCTCTTCCCTGCAGATGTTGCAGAACTACATGCTCCATTTCCAGAGGATTTCGTTTTGGAAATCAATTAATACTTCCTAGGTTTTTTTTTTATTCCCTGCTATTTCTAGACAGAAGATTTACAGTGCCAAAACATTCATTAGTTTGCTAGCAGAAGTGCCTTCCACTTTCCTACTGCTTATCAATTAGTAGGAGTCAGTCATTTATCTCCTCTTCTATGACACCTTAACCTTTCTTTTGCAATAGTATCACTAATTTTGTACTGAACGCATCTTTCAGAAATAAAAATATTATTAACATTAATTCCAAGACTGCTTGCCGAGAAATCCCATTACCAACCACCTTCCAGGCTAATAATCACCATTTATCATTCGCGACAAATCTCCACCTTCTCCAGTTTAACCAGTAATTTTCTAAAGAAGCCAAGTGTTTCAGTAACCACTGACGAGATTAGACCTCCTGTGCTTCTGTTGTTTTAAAATAGGTATGTTCTTATGTTGGGGGAAATCAAATTATCTATTCTCTGCTGCTATTTCCCTTTGGTAAATGTGTGTTTTGCCACTTACTTTCCATTCCCTTCTCGTTTCACTCTGAAATACTTGGGAGTTTTCACAGCTTTGTCTTTTCAATTCTTTGAACTGGTCTTTGACTTCGAATTTCCAACTCTCCTCTACATTCCTCGTCTCCTCTACACAAAAGAGTTTACCAGCTCTCCATTTCCATTGGTTTAATTTGATGCCACTTTTCATAAAGATCTACTTGCTGATGGTCTTCTGTTTATTTTAACGAAGACGGAAGCAGGTAGAAAGTTCTCTGTCCTAATCCATAAACACAGATCTTCCAAACCTCAGCCAGCAACTCTTACAAACCAAGCCATTCTGCCACTTAAGTACTCACCTCCAGAAGCAAAGGGTTGCTCCTTCATTAGAGGTGAGCTGCAAGCCAAAGTAGTTCCCTGCCTTCCTGGGTCTTTAATCGTAGAATCATTTAGGTTGGAAGGGACCTTTAAGATCATCAAGGTCAAACATCAACATAACACTGACAGAAACCATCACTAACCCATGTCCCTCAGCGCCACGTCTGCCCGGCTTTTAAATCCCTCCAGGGATGGTGACTCCACCACTGCTCCGGGCAACCTCTTCCAATGTTTGATGACCCTTCTCGTAAAGGAATTACTTCTGATGTCCAATCTAAACCTCCCCTGGTGCAACTTGAGGCCATTTCCTCTTGTCCTATCGCCTGTTCCTTGGGAGAAGAGACTGACCCCCCCTGGCTACACCCCCCTTTCAGGGAGTTGGAGAGAGCGAGGTCTCCCCTCAGCCTCCTTTTCTCCAGGCTGAACACCCCCAGCTCCCTCAGCCTCTCCTCACAAGACTTGTGCTCCAGACCCCTCACCAGCTCCGTTGCCCTTCTCTGGACACGCTCCAGCCCCTCAACGTCTTTTTTTGTGGTGAGGGGCCCAAAACTGGACACAGCACTCAACGTTGTGTCATTTTGAAAGATTCCGCTCCGTTGCCCTTCTCTGGACATGCTCCAGCCCCTCAATGTCTTTCTTGGAGTGAGGGACCCAAACCTGGACCCAGCACTCGAGATGGGGCCTCACCAGTGCCCAGTCCAGAGGGAAAATAAGCTCAAAGGCTTGGCAACATC